GAGATTCACAAAGTGCTGCGCCTGCCACGAAATCTGCACATCGAGATGCACAAAGTGCTGCGCCTGCCACGAAATCTGCACATCGGAGATCCAAAATGAGCAAATTGCACGAGGCTTTCGCAAATTTTCAAATGCGTTTCGGAAATGCTGTGCCTGCCACGAAATCATGCCTGCAGGTCATACGAAATGCTGCACTGGCCACGCAAAAGCATCCTCAAGTTCAAATTCCAAAAATGCGACCCCTCTCACGAATTCACCCGTTTCACCTCAAAATATCGCATCCATGGTGCGGATGCCCTGCGCCTGCCACGTGAAACGCAATCCTGCGAATGACACACGCCTGCCAACGTTTTTGCAACGTCCACAAAACACTGCGCCTGCCACGAAATTTGCAAAGTCTCCGATTCCTTGCACCTGCCACGTAAAATGACCTTTTCGAGGCTCCGATGTGTCGAATTCCTTGCGCCTGCCACGCAAAATGCACTTCATGTCCGAAAACGAGCACGGCACCTGCACGAGAGCTTTGTCCCGGAAGCGCGAAAGGCGCGGCCACCACTTTATGCGAGCCGGCCCACGCAAACTGCCGCGCCCACACGCGCGAACCCTGATCTAAACCCGCTTAACTCTTACCGTAAGAACCCCTTAGTGCGGAGCACTATTTGGGGAACAATAATAAATACTGGTTAGAATGGCGCAACGGGGTTTCCCGTTCTTTAGAGTGGCAAGGTGGACCGTGATTCTTTAGGATAAGAGTGCTGAGCTCTTCCTTTTCTTCGTCTTCTTGTTTCCAATAGCAATGGCCTCCCCCGGAATGGAAACGGTGATAAAAAGGAGCGTGCATGAATGAACACACGTGGCTTGATGAACAGGTGTGATGACCTGTCAGGCGATGAAGGTTCACCCGATGATGTTTGATGTGGTGGCTTGGTCCTTTGGTGCAGTGCAACATCTTGCTTTGTCATATGCAGAGGTGTACTGCGGCGGTTCGTGATGTGGCTTGTTTTCTCTAAGACATCTCTGATGTTCCTGTGAATGTTTGCTCTTCACTTATCGATAATATTTAATAGCCTGCCCATCCCAAGCCCAAAACTTCTCGACTTTGCCTGCATAGTAGACACACACACACACCATTTTTGAGCCTAAACTAACAGGCCACTCCACACTGGACACGCTTGGCCACACCGCACCATGAAGTCTCAATCTTCCCATTCTGTTCCTGCATGAGACTGCTTTATAGACTTCCGTTTCGCCCCCTGGTTGCTCTTTGAACGTCCACTATATAAACGCACACCGGCTACAATGTTTCTTTTAAGCTTTTTTGCTACTGTACATTTTTTCTTAATTTTAGACGTCAGGTTGCATGGGTATTTCTATGACCCCTGGTTGGCTTCAAGTAAGGAATGCCGGCCGGACCAAGTCTTGCTCTTCAATGCCAACAACCACGACAGCTCAGCCCGCATTGATGTTCTGCCAGATGGCAGGGTGAATTGGGTGGCAGGTGGACACAGTTATGGATGGGTTAGCTTGAGCAACCTGGTCTTCGTCCCAGGTGCGACGATCAAGATTGGTTCTCGCTCTCGCAACCTTGATTGCTTCATGCACAGCGCAAACCAGGTGTAAGCTGGGCTAAAGCTATCGCCTTACAAATGAAATGAGTACATATTGCTGGAGAGGTGACACGGTGAGTTAGAGATCATCCGCAAAAAATGAACTTTAGATTCATTGTTCACGATCTCAATTGAGATTCTGTTTGGGTGATGAGTCCACAGATTTGGTTTCAAGGTTTGTGTTTCAGGATGGTATCAGCAGCATGGTGTGTCCGGTTGACTCATTGATTCACAGCTGAGCCCAACATGCCACAAAAATTAGCCGTTATGTGCTGTTATGGAGCACCTTTCTGGACATGTTGGGGGCCACTTGGTGCAAACTTGCACCTAATTTAGGACCAACACGGGGCAATTGGGGTCCGTTTGGCCCAACATGATGCAACTTGTGCCCGTGTGGGTTCAACTTGGCCTCCAGTTGGCACCAATATCCAACACGGCCCGGAAAAAAGTGCTCCTTCGACGCCAAGCTTGCAGCATGTTGGGCTCAATCGGGGTCCAGCTGGATGAGTGGCGGTCACAGTCCAGAAAAATGTTCGTAGAAAACTAAGTTGCTGCTGGATGCTGTTGGCAAGGTTTGGGAACGTTTACTTATATATGTTGGAGTCCTGAGCCAAATTTGGGCCAACTTGGGGTCAAGTTGGGGCCATAGTGGGCCGGGATGAACGTTGCTCCAAAGCATCCAACATAGCCGACCTTGTTTGCTTGGATTGTGTCCTTCTCCTTATTGCATACAGCAGACTGGCTCTTGCATGAGTGTGGCTTCACTTCAACTGAACAAGCTGCGGCATGAGTGATAGAACCGTCAGAGATGAGCGCATGTTGTTACCTTGCAGAAAGGAAAGGATTGTCAATCTGTTTGTTCATTTGTTGTTTGATGTTGTTGTGTTTCATCGTGTGTCCACTTTTTCTGTGTCCGCTTGGTTTCACCTGCTTTTCTCTTTCGGGATTCACTTTCAGGCTGTCGTCGCGTTGGTTTTCGGCACCCGTCTTACCCCCACACTTCCAGATACGTTCCTTCTGTTGGCACCTCCTACAGTAAGATGCAATGTGTTCCATTCTCGCTGATGCTTTTTAATTCTCTTGGAGGCAGCAGCGGTTGGCCAGTGCCTTTGGTGAATGGTTGGGCGTCCTACGGTGGAGATTTTGGCACGCCGACATACAAGCCTCTCGTTCTTAGATTGATTTGTGTTTGCGCGCGGATGTGTGTGTGTGTGTGTCAAACCCTGTACCTAAGGGTTCCACCTCACCGTTTGCTTTGAAGTTTTTTCAGCAGGGGGACTGCCTGACTCTTAACAGCGGCAGTCCAACGAAGAGGCTGTTTTGAGTGACTGATATGGATTCTGGACGCAGAATCCACGTACCTGCTGAGTAACTGTTGACCATGCTGTCCAATTGGCTCGGTTTGGTTCCATGGTTTTTCATGCTTCAACCCCCGAAACCTTTTCCCACCGCCGACTTGCAGCCCGCCGCACGTGAGTTGCAGCCCGCCGCGCGAGAGTTTGCCAGCTGAGTACAACCATTGTTCAACATGTCAAGTGACCTGACTTTCTCGATTGCTGTTCCCTCACCTTTTTCCACTTTGGAATCGATTAACTGAAAACCAATGTCAGAGTGTGAACCGCTCAGCCGTCCCACTTGGGTGCTGGGTGTGGTCCCCGTCACTGGGGCGCTGAATTCATGCTGGAAATCGCATAACAGATTTTTCGGATCCTTCTTTCCTTGGATTTTCTTAACTGACTCCTTTTCACCACTGGATTAACTGCTCCCATAGCCGCCGGGCTTGTACGGAGAATGAACCCAAACGCGGTTTCTACACCAAACACCCCAACCCCTCCCACTAATTAGGGTAACAGAGGGAAATGGTACTCGGGTAACAAAGGGAAATGGTACTCGGCACACTTGTGTGTCGGTGCCTTTCCCTCTGTTGTCCCTTTTCTAGTCTTCTCTACCCGGGCGGTCTAAGACTAAAGTCCCGCTCCCTAACTATTGCATTCAATTCACCTCCGCTAAGTAATCAGTAATTCTAGAGTGCTAAGCATTCATACACACACACATGTACATACACCTCCCTGCCCCCCCACTTTCCTTCTTGCGCTTTTGGTCGTTTCTTGGGCTTTCTCTCAGGCTTTTTAGGTTGCTCTTGAAGCTCGTTTCCCTACCCCGGTCAAGGGCTAAGTATTCACCTTTTTCTACTCCTACCTTTCTCTCTTGCCCTCTTAGCGCTGCTCTTTCTGCGTGTCTTTCTTTTGTTTCTAAGGCTTTTTAGGTACCTATTCAGGTCGTTCGCACGAGCGCCGCAAAGCGGCACCGTGTGTGTGTGTGTCAAACCCTGTACCTAAGGGTTCCACCTCACCGTTTGCTTTGAAGTTTTTTCAGCAGGGGGACTGCCTGACTCTTAACAGCGGCAGTCCAACGAAGAGGCTGTTTTGAGTCACTGATATGGATTCTGGACGCAGAATCCACGTACCTGCTGAGTAACTGTTGACCATGCTGTCCAATTGGCTCAGTTTGGTTCCATGGTTTTTCATGCTTCAACCCCCGAAACCTTTTCCCACCGCCGACTTGCAGCCCGCCGCACGTGAGTTGCAGCCCGCCGCGCGAGAGTTTGCCAGCTGAGTACAACCATTGTTCAACATTTCAAGTGACCTGACTTTCTCGCCTTGCTGTTCCCTCACCTTTTTCCACTTTGGAATCGATTAACTGAAAACCAATTGTCAGAGTGTGTGCGTGTGGGTTTGTGCGCGCACGCGTTCCGACCAGGAACAATCACATCAGCACAACAATGCAGCAGGCTGCACGGGATGTCCATTTTCATGAGTTTTTGTTGATGTGTTTTTCGTGCTTTTTAAGAACAAGGGGGCGACAGGGTGTTCGCATGGCTGTCGCCAACGAAGCTCCATGCAGGATTTCCAGGTTGGTCACCTGGACATACCTGGACGCACCTGCAACAGTTTGAGCTGTAAGCAGAGTTGGAGGCTGCTGCTGCTGCTGCTGCTGCGGCGTTTCTCAACTGTCGGACTGTCGGGCTGTCAAGACTAGATTAGCGAGATGCATCAGTAGTCAATTGTAGTTTGGCGCACTAGGGTTAGTGTCCAATGTGGTCTTGAAATAGGCCAGCTCAGAATGTTTCACTTGAACTCGCCTCGGGCTGCTGCTGGGTGTGTGTGTGTGTGCGTGTGTGACGCTACTTCTTAGCTGAAGCGAGTGTTTGGGCGTCTCCGGAAGAGAAGTTCGGCTTTAAGGTTGTTGTCGTGCACGCTCGGTTCGCAAGGCTGAAGGGAACCCTTTGCGTAGTTGACGGCCTGATTCACGGCGGGACTTGGGATCATTTGGCCACTCTTCCAGAAGAATGTCGCCCAACCAAGAGGCTCCTCTTCAATATGAATCTCAGCTGCAGGTTGGTGCATTCTAATCCATGCTATATCGTTCAGCACTGAAATTCATGGAACTTTAAACCTTTCTGAGGAACAATCATGAAAGGTCCACCCGTGTGGATGTGTTTCCAACCGGCGCTATTTCGCACCTTGCCTCGAAGAATGTGCTCAGATTCTATTGAGTTGAAGCACCTCTCACACCATGCAAAATAAATCTCGTTCCCATACCTTTTGAAGGTCTTTGCTGTTCGACTTGTGTGTGAAACTGTTCTGGCGAAATTCGATTGCCGGCTCCCAGGTATGTTGATGGTGGAAACAGCCATGGTTGGGTGAGTCTTGCCGGCATCATCTTCACCACGAAGAGCTTGCAACAGCAGCCACTGGCCTTGGCTTCGGGCTGGTCGCTGTTGACATTGCCGGAATGGAATCTACCCATAACCTATTCAGTTGCTGAAGGCCAGGGCCCTAAAAATCGCGGACTTGAGGTTTACGTGTTGAGCCTTTGAGGGCCAGGCTGTCCCAATCACCCAGGTTTGTGCATCCTTGAGGGCCTCGTATCTGGCACCGCTTGGGGGCATGTCATTACGAGCCTTCCTGTGGAGTGTTGGCCTATGCGAACACTGATCTTTGGAACCAAGAATGGTGGTGATGTCATTCAACGTGTCGAATCTTGGCGCCAGATCATGGCGTGTGAGAGGCCAGCGGGTGAAATCAGTCTGTGGTGTCCAGCATCCAACCTGAGGATGTTGACGTCGAAGGCAATGTGAAACACATTTCTGCAGGCAGGGTCGCAGGACTTCTGAGGACTATCATGCAAGTCTAGGACCAGTTGGGGCTTTTGAGTGGGTAGAATTTCACGGACCAGTGGCAGCAGTTGGGCCCGCTCTGCCATTGTTTCCACAGTTGGCCACTTGCAGTCTCAAAGCCCGACACTAGAGATGTTCCCGTTCGCTAGATGCTTGGGTGTTATGGTATTATGGTAACCGTTGGAAATCTGAAGCATGCTGCATAGAGAAACCGGCAATCATGTCTGACTTCCACCAAGCTCTTCGATCACCCATAACAATGCTTGCAGGTAGTGCATTGAATTCATGGATCAGTCTGGCTGGCATTGCCTTTGCCCAAGAGACTTCAGGTGTAAGGCTCCTGCCACTCAGGAGCTGGGAGTAGCAGAAAGAGCGTGTTTTAAAAATATTTTATCAAAGGACTGTATATATTATTGTGTATGAATGTGAAAATTTATTGTGTATGAATGTGAAAATTTACGATGGACTCGCAAAAATGTCCGTTTGGAAATTGTCGTTGCACTCCTCACGAGCCATACCTGCAGGACGAGTTGGGTCAGTTGGGGTCAAGGATTCGGAGAGGCCACCTTCAACATGAAGAGCCTTGACACAAATCTAAAAGCAATGGCCTCCAACCCAAAAGCAATGGCCTCCAAACTGCTAGCGACGGCTTCCAACCTTCTAGCGATGGCCTCCAACCTACATGTAGATGTTGCATGTTTGTTCATTGTGAGCGAAAGTGCCACTCAGCGCGTTTTTTCCAGACTTACTGTACATCCTTTTAGCTCCTATGCTTGACGTGGACACTTGTCCAACCCAAAGCGATTGACACAACTGTGAGATGAGCTCTCCCCACACACAATTGAAATATATACAGAACGATGCGCAACTACCAAGACACCGCCAAGGAATGGGATGTGTATGCTGGAGGCAGGGGCCAAATCATGGGCCAATGGCCGAAACAACACGCAGTTCAACAGTTTCGTTTTTGGATCAACTGCCCGAAGCCAATGGCCAGGCCATAGTGCTAGATGGTGCAGCCTGGACACTGTTTGCACAGCTCCCGGAGGGCTGTCGGCCTACGTATCGCGGCAGACAAGCCGAAACATAGGTTTCATTGGGTATCGTTTCAACGACTTGATGGAAAGACAGTGCCGGGTGCACTCGAAGCTGGTGCATGATTTCATCTAGAATCAATCATGCTCGTTCTGCTTGTTTGTTCCTTTCCTTCCCTCCCTGCATTTTTCCTTGCACATAAACGGGGTTTCCTGAAACCAAGGAAGCAGCTGATCTTCGCTGTAAATCACCACAGCTACCAGCATCGAGTGGACGCCCACCCCGACGGCAGAATAACATGGGTCGCAGGGCCACAGACCCTTGGGCCAATAAGTTGGTGCACAATCTATAGAATCTAGTGCTGATTGGGCAGCTGTACATAGCTGTACCACTACAGAATTCAAGCTCGTACTAATGATATGGTTTCTAGATGTTTGGGGAAAACTCATTACTAAGATGGTGGGCGGACAAGCAGAAGTTACATACTACATCACACCGGCCATGTGTCGCATGTCATCATGTTATTTGATCCTCTCAGTGGAAATCTCGTGAGATGTGTCAGTCTTGACGCCTCACGAGTGTTGAGCGAGTGTGCCTTCTTGGTATTTGCCGACTCCGGATAGTGTGTACACGCAGGTTGTTTGTGCAGATTAGAACACACCCCATTCCCAGCCACACTCCATGGCAAAATGGACAGCTGAACAGGAATCAAAGGCAGCTGCCTGCCCCCTTGCTTCAAGCCAGGTGGGTGAGAGTGTCCAGGTTTATGCCTTTGAAAGGGAAGGCCCAAAAGGCATGAAGCCTTGGGCGCTGAGCGTGCCCAGGCATTTCAACTGGGTCAGCCTGAGCAATATCGCCTTTGCACCTGGCACTGTGGGACACATCACCTTGCCATTGCACAATGGTTGGAGCGCCTATGGTGGGGCCTATGGCAGTCCTGACTATACGGTGCGAAAGCCCCGGCTTTGTCTTGTTGAACTGCGGCCCTTGGCCGGGGGATGTTTCTAGTTTGTACGACCAGATGGTCGGACATGCTTCCAGTAATTTCTGGTTTGTTTGGATATGTTGTCATTTTCCAGTAATTTCATATTTCCAAACATATCTTGCCTTTTGGGATATTGTTGGTTCTCTTTCTCTAATGCAGTTCCAGTCAGCATGGTCATGGTCATCATCGTAGTCGGCCTCGTCCTGGTCCGAGATCAAACCCAACTTCTCTTGCACCGCCCTGTCGTGGCTTTGACGCTCAACTGTCGTCCGCAGGTGCGAAACGGAATTTGCTCACTGGAGGGCCTTGTATTCAAGAGTGGTGGCTTTTTCGTTCAGCACATAGCAACGCTGCCTGAAGATTGCAGGCCAAGTGCCTTGGCTTTTCATCCGTCCAAAAAGCCCACGAGCGTTGTGCCAGAGGCCGAACAAGTGTTGGGCGGAACTTGCAGGCTCGTGTGGCCTCAGGCTTTCGGGTTGCTTTCTCTGGACTGGACACTTGGAAACCGGAATGTCCTTGTCTCCAACATCCCCATGTGAACACGAAATCTATTCCCTGCTTGTGTGGTAGCAGCCCTGAGGTTTCTCGACATGAGCTTGGTGGACACAATGGACATGAGGGGGAGAATGTTCGACAAATATGAAAGTGTCAAAGACATGGATGGCGTCGAACACACGCCCCCAAAGTAAGAGACTTGAGATCACTACCTAGTGACGGTGGAGCCAGACATCCTTGTTGGGGTCACCCAGTTCGACTAACCGGCCAGCTGATTGCTCATGGACCTGCAGGAGCGCTCCACTTGGCCACCGAAAGGCCCACCGCAAGAACACAGAGCAACGGCACTGGGTGTCGTCTCGGACAGGCCTCTCCCCTTATCACTTTCCGGAAGACACAGAGAAACTCAAACCAGGACGCCCCCAGTAGCGTCCTTGCTGCTAGACTTAGCGATGCCAGGAGCCCCTAGTATATAGCTTCTTGCTCCTGGTAGTAATGCCAGGAGCCTCTAACAGCGTCCTTGCTCCTAGTAGCGATGCCACTCAGCTCACTAGCAGCTGGCACCGTACTTCTCACAACTTGTGACACTGTGCAGAGTCCATGCAAGGCAGGTTCGATTGATGGTGCACGCGATCCATGTGCACCGACCCAGCCAATCGTGCCTCCAAGTCTCGTGTCACTCGTGTCGTTTCACTCATGAGCCTCCCCGAGTCCACCGGCAATGGTGGATATCACCGTGCTTGGTCCACCCGATCCAAGGCGCGATCCTGGTGTTCAATGTTGACAATCACGGCGCGACGTCTCGGGTGGACATCAATCGCGATGGTATTGTGACCTGGGCAGCTGCTGGAGGTCATCAGGCGTCTCAGCTTTAAAAGAACAGAGAAAAAATGTGAAGAAGTCAGACGAAAAGCGGTGTGTGGGTGAAATCTGGGACCATGATTAGCGATGAAAAATGAATAGAATTGAGTACCAGGTCAATCCACTGCGATTTTAGATAGAGGACAGGATGTTACACATCCATAGCCGATCTCGACTCGCTTGTGGTCGCGTAGCAAGACGCAGCAATGACCAGCTTTTGGGCGACCCAGCCAACCCTGAAGAGGAGACCACTGAAGACCCACAGACGTTGTTTCCAAAGTCCGAAGCTTGGGCTGTTGTAACTTGTTGCTCAAATCCCAAAGACCATTTGGGGCAAGCCCTATATAAACCACCATTTGGGAATTGAGCCAAGAGTCTTGAGGAGGGTATAAGCGCGGGGCCTCACGAAAAGCGAAAAGAGCAGAGAAGAATGGCTGAACAGCCTGCAGAGGTTTTGGCTTTTACAACTGTTGAGATCCAAGCTGGACAGTCAAAGTGTGAATTGTTCAATCATTGAATTGATCAGGCCCCATTCTTTGCTCTTTTTGAGCAGGTTCACTCTCTAACGCTAGCCGCTAGAAAGCCACCTGGCAAGGAGTGGGTGGCTTTGTCCGGCATTGTCTTCAGTCCCATGAGCAGCGGAGCTTCTGCATATCCGATTCCTCTGGCCAGTGGCTGGCACAACTACGGGAATGGGTGGCTCTTCCGCACGGCTGGCGCACGGAATCGGAAGAGAACTGATCAGGGATATAGCGCTGGCTGCCTGCTCTATACGGGCCATTTGGGCAGTATAGAAGTCTGGGACTTTTTCCGTGGCACACCTGCTATTGCACAGATAAAGGGTCCAAGACTTCAAGAATCTATATATCATCACTAATCGTGACGAATCTAACCATCTAACCGCGAGTTAGGTTGTGGTGATGGTAGTTGCAACGAAAGCTAGCAATCCAGGGAAGGCCTGAGGCCTCGGTGATGTTTCACCAGGAGCCACCCGCGCAGTGACAAGACAAAGATAAGCTGGCCGTTGCAGTTACTCCTTTTTGATTGATTGAGCCAGGGTTACAGTACACCCCTGCTGGCCCGAAGTGAGGTAGAGTAGTGGAGATGACTGCCACTGACAGTTTCCGACCTGTCAGAGCTTGCGGCACACTTGTGTGAGGTTTGCAGACGCTGCGTACCATGTGGTGGACGGGATTTGTACTGTGGAGGGCCTGATTTACGGCACCTTGGCAAACTTGGCAGCCCACTAGCTTAGCACTAGCCCACTGCAGAGTCGAGGTGGCACTTGGGGTCATTTGGCCACACTTCCATCAGACTGCCGACCAAGCAAGGCCTGGAAGGAGGAAGGGCGGGCCCCTTGCAGGGCCAAACCAGCCAGACTTGGATATGACGTGGCGAACTGGGACGTCGGCCAGTAGTGGAGCACTACTTGCTAGATATAGAAAGTCAGTGTTGCTTACCAACTCTCCCTATTTTCGTTCCCATGTGATTGGCCAGGTCTTGATCTTCTCCATGAACCACCATGACTCGCAGCTGCGGGTGGACGTTCGGGCCAATGGTGAGATCCACTACATTGCTGGCACCGTGACCTACGACTGGGTGAGTTTGTCTGGCATTTTATTTGAAACTGTGCAGTGAGAGGTGTGAAGCCTGACACGCTGGCTTGTTCCATTCTGCGTCCAAAGCATTTGAGCGAGCATGCAGGTTTCAGAAAGCAGACTCCGGGAGCAGGGTGGTGGAGTAACATTGTTCATCTCGACAATTACGCCACTAGCTCTTTGTCACCGCTCTCTTCCTGTCATACATTCTCACTCTTGCTCGCTGTCACTATCTCTTCGTCATCACTGCATGGTCCCTATTTTGACGTTTATGCAGAATTATATACTTATTCGCACCGCTACGCTGCTAAGTCTGCCCGCGCCGGGAGTAATGTTTGTGGTAATGTTGCGGTATCTGTCGTGTGGGCAATAGTATAGTATCGTTGCAAGCACCGGTGGTGGCTAGATCCTTGTGACAAACTGCTCTTCAAACATGTTTTTTCAAAACATCGTGCTATACATAGGTTCCCGTCATCCAGGTTCTACCTGGCTAATACGAACCCCTAGCCAGCTACCCCCTCCCAGCTATAGCTGAAGTCTTGCGATTGACTATGCCATCCGGATACACACGCCCCAGCACCTCCGGTGCGGGCGGATTTCTTTGCTGCTCTTCTCCAAAGCTCTCTGCTAGGATCTTTCTGGCTGGGTGGGGCAAGGGTAAGGCGGGATAGGATGTGGATGGATGTGATGCGCAGAAAGGTTCAATATGTATAGGTTGAGATGTGATGGGATGGAACAGCAGGATGTCATGACATGATACACTAGGGATGGCAGATGGGAGGGGAGGAGTTGACAGAATTCAAAAATGGTAAGATGTCCATTGTACGCCCCGCCATGGGTACCATTTTGCAGGCAAACAAATTCCAAGGAATCCCCACAAAAGATGGAAAGAATCACGGTTTAGACTTGAATAGAGTTCACTGTTGATAATTCACCAGCATAGACCCAGATAGCTAGGCAGAGTCCCACGACCTGTTGACATGCGACTGGCTGGAACAAGAATGTACGCAGCTTGCGCAGCCACCTTACGGCACCTTCACGGCGCGCACAATCAGCTGACACCAGCACCGGTGCACTTTGCCAGCTGACAACACCGGCAGCGGCGCCAGCACCCAGGACCACAACACCAGCACCAGCACCGACACCATTTCGAAAGCGCGCGCGGCCAGCTCATTCTTACTTGCAGCAAGGACCCCATAGCTTTCCCTATTTGGGGAATAACACCGTATGATTTTGCGCGTATACGTTTATGCGCACAAAAGTATGCGCGCAAAAAACACAGCCCGTAAGTGTCATTGGCCCAAGGCCAAGCAGTATCCAGCGCCACTATTGACTTTGTAGCATGCTTGAAGCAACGATCTGCAGAACGATAAGGCCGTATGATCTTGCGCGTATAAGTTTATGCGCACAAAAGTATGCGCACAAAGAGCAAAGCCCGTAGCCCTCATTCGCCCAAGGCCAAGCAGTATCCACGACTAGTGTGTGTGTGTGTAGCATGTTGGAACATGCTAACACAGTGGCCGGTTGAGAGCCTGATGTTGTGCATAGAACATTATACGTACAAAAGTATGCGCGCAAACAGTGCGGCCCTTGACACAGCTGTCGGCCAAAACAAAACCTGAAGAGCGTAAATACCCCACAGCGCTAATAGACAAAGAACGCTCAAGCGACGACACCGCATGATGTTGCGTGAATAAGTTCATGCGGCCCCTGAATGCTGGCACTTCATTGTCAGAAGCGGCGCTTGGTCGCCCTTCACTCCTGCAAGCGGCAGTTTGTTACCATTCACTGCTAGAAGTGGCGGCTGTTATCACTTCACTGTCAGAAGCGGGCACCAGCACCGAGCACCGGCACGCCAGCTCACGGCGCCCAGCACCAGCACCACGCGCGCAGCAGTCTTCGCCACGCGCACTGCCAGCTCACACCATCGGCACCGGCGCCCGCCACGCACACTGCCAGCACCCAGCACCAGCCAGCTCACAGCACCCAGCACCAGCACCACAGCAAGCACCAGCACCCGGCACCGGCCCTGTCTCGAAAGCGCGCACAGCCAGCTCATTGTCGATTGAAACAATAAGAGCCCCATAGCCGTCACCATCTGGCGAACAAAGTCCTCTCCACCAGGCACACAGCCAGCACCCAGCACCGGCGCCCGGCACCCTGTCTCCACCACGCGCACAGCCAGCACCCAGCACCAGCACCGCCACCCTGTCTCCACCACGTGCACAGCCAGCTCCCAGCACCGGCGCGGGCACTCGGCGCCCAGCACCGGCACCCTCTCTCCACCAGCTCACAGCACCAGCACCAGCACCGGCACCCTGTCTCCACCACGTGCACAGCCAGCTCACAGCACCAGCACAGGCACCAGCAACCTGTCTCGAAAGCGCGTACGGGCAACTCATTGTTATCTGAAGTAAGAACCCCATAGCTTCGCTCTCTGGGAATTATCATTTGCGAAATAATATTGAATCAAATGATAAATGCATTAATTAAAGCAATATATAGTATTACTATATTTCGAAATATTGAAATATTAATATATATATATATTTATTTATTTTTTACACATATTATGTAACGTATAAATGATATTAAATATATATTTAAAGATTCTAATTTTTTGGAATGAAAAGATTTAGTTTATTGAAATATATTTTATTGTATTTTTGATGGAACAATTGGAAGAAAATATAAATACTAATATGTTTTATGAAATTAGTTTAGAGATTTATATTTGATAGTCGGATTTATGGATCGAATATCGCGGTGGAAAGAATATATATTTCGTATTTATATATAGAGAATCGGAATGATAGGTAATTATATTGAATATTTAGGTTTTTTTATATTGATGTATTTGGGATTAAATAATGATTTAGGTAATTTCGATCGAATTTGGAAATTATATATATTGGATTAATGGGATGTTTCTTAAATATGTTTAAAATTGATGGAATCATATGAGTGTGGAAGATGGTGAGGAATAGATAATGTTATATAAATTATGGGTTTATTGTTTCGCGGTGTCTGACGTAGGTCGGCGATAGGGAATATGATTATTAACTATTTTCGCTAAATATATGGATTGCGTGGTTGGTGCCCGGAATTTACACGAATATGTTTTTATTGATCTTTAGTATTCTTTAAAAACGGATTTTGCGAAAAAAATAGTTTATATATTTATATTGTTATTATAAAAAGTTATTTAATAGATGTATAATTAATTCGGCTATAAATTATAGTATTTTTTTGAAAATAAATATTTTTTTTTTTTGATGATTTTATATGTTGATAGGATTTGATGGGAAGTTGTCGGTATTTTTTTATATATTTCGTATATTTAGAAAATATTTATATATTTATCTTTCTTATTATATATGTAGATATTCGTTATAAATATTTAATTTGTAATTCTGTTTAATATATAATCGATTAAATTTGGTTTATTCGATTATTGTTATTTAAAGAAAATTTATTGTTTGATATCGAATTTGGGCGATAGTAATTTATTTTAGTTTAGATTAAATTTTAATATTATTTATATTTAAAAAAAAATATTGTTTAAATATATTTATAATTTTAGATATTTTATGATATTATGTATTAATTAATATGGTATTATCTTGTTTAGGAAATGTATTTTTTGATTATTAGCTATTATTTGGCGATTTGGTTGGAGCCGATTGTTAGGCTCGTTAGGAAGGGAAAGGCCGGGAGCGATTGTATTTTTGCTTATCGGAAATAATTCTGGTAAGAATGGTTGTGAAGTAGTTTATATGGATTCGATTTCTTTAATTTTTGTGAAATTCGAGATTTGGAATTTGAGATTCGAGATTTAAAATTCGAGAAGCGAGATTCGAGCCTTCGGAGTTGAGATTCGAGTTCTTAGATTCGAGATTTGAACTCCGAGATGCGAGTTTCGAGATCCGAGGTCCTACATTAAAGATTCGGGGTTTGAATTCCGAAATCTGACAATCGAGATGCGAGAGCCGATATTTTAAATTCGAGATTCGGGATGGGAGATCCGGATGCAAGATTCGGGATTTGAGATCCAAGATTTGAAATGCGAGGTCCGAGGCGCGAGATCCAAGATTTGTGTTTAAGATGCGAGAATCGGGATTTGAGATGTGAGATTCGAGATGCGAGGACCGAATTTTATGATTTATGTGTGACGATGAAATTATGGATGATTTTGGTTTGTAAGCTAATGGTGGAAATGCTAGAACGTGTTGCGTTATAAATAGCAATGGAAAATTTTATCGTACATTTAATCAAAAAAAAATGTCGATACAATATTGGCATATATTATTTATGTTGTAATGAATAATAAATTATGGGAATATGAATTTCGCATATTTTTTTGATGGATGTAAAATTGTAAATGTCTTTGGCCTTCCGATGATATTATTTGAATAATAAAAATTGTCGAAAGAATCGTCGTATTAATATGTCTATTGAATTGTATTATTTTTTAAAGGATTTATTTATAAATATGAATTTAATATTACATTTATTGAAATTTTGCAAATGGTATATATTAATATATATATTTTATTTGTTGATATTTGCAAAAATTCTAAGAAAATAAATTGAAAAAAAAATAATTATGGATTTTATGGATTAAATATAATTATATATTTCTTCAATGATTTTGGATTCAAGCGGCGTCGTTAACATTTGTAGGTTTCTATAGAAGATATTGGACGACGTTATTGATTAAGTAATATCAAAATAATATATAACCCTGTTTATAGCTACTTGTCCCGATGCCAATATATCATGGGGTATAGTCGCGATAACCGCGTACTAAGCATGCATGCGATATCCAATATACCTCGGAAATAGAAGAGGCAGAAGCAGAATCTTTATAGTATGATAAAAATGACCAATGAGCCACAGCATCCACAAAGATGAGCCGCGAGATCCGTGAAATCCGAACAAGGGGCGCATAATATTACAACAGGCATCCAATAATGGAGAGATTTGGTCTGCAACAAGCCGCGGAGGATGGCAATTCTTTAAGGCACTAGGATCTAATAG